CGGGTAGACTGATGAGTCCCTGATAATGTGCAAGAAGCGACCCAGATGCTTGTCCTTTTCGTAGAACTGCATAAGCTCTTCACCATTCATTTGCTTGGTCTGGTTCAACGGCACGAATTTGATGTCCTTGGGAGGAAGGGCTTCGTAGGTGAAGGGACCCTTGATCGTGTCGAGGTCATGGGTTCCTATGGATACCAGAGTCCGCTGCCGCGCCAGATTTTGGTGCAACTTGTCTTGTAAGTCAATGAAAGACTCGTACCTGGCCTGGTCGAAATTGATGTTTCGCAAAATGGCCCCAGAGACGTATGGCCGTATTCTCTCACAATCCTTGGAAACTGTAATGGTCTGAATTTCTCCCGTGGGCGGTGCTTTGAGAACATATTTGGGTGCTGGTACTCTGCGATTGAAGATGTTCAGCATGAGCTGAATGCCCTCGAAGCACAACATGTCATATCGATTGGCTGGGATCTCGATCTTTAGCTGGGGAGGTTCTTGTTTGCCGTTGACGATCGGTCGTTCTGTCAGTGAGGTGTCTTCATCGAGCTCGATCCCAAAGTCAAAGCAGAGTTCGTCGAACTCCTCTGTCGTGTAGTCCCTCCCCAGTGCCTGGAAGAGGGCAGCCTTGTCTACTGTGATAGTTGGCATTTTGCGAAGGCTCTGAGGCAGATTTTCTCCAGCTGCGTTTCAGTCGGCCCAGATGCGCCGGTCCAGGTCTTCAGAGAGACACAGAAGAGTGGGAGAAGTAGGCAGACTATGATCGAGGCGGTCGAGAGTAATATCTTGTCACCCGGCTCAGTTAAAGGAATCAATATCAGAAAAGACTGTAGAGGGAAGAGTCATCTGGAGGGTCTTGGCGCAGCCACCACGCAGAGTGCGATGCCCCGTCTTTGCCCATCCTGCACCCACAGGAATTTGGCTGTGCCACAGCATCTGGCATCAATCAGCCCCTTTCAGCCACATGTTCCCGACTTGTTCACTTTGAATGACGGAGCTCGTTGAGCGAACCTGATTATCCCACCTTGCAAAAGCAACAATACCCTTATTTGCCCTCCTACGAATCCTCTCCCTACTTCCACATTGACTGTTTTGTGGATAGCAAGTCATAGTGACAGACCCCACCAATTCATCGACACCTGCATCGACTCTGTATCTTGGTTTGTTGTGAGTCGAGCCTCTCCCATCCCCGGCGCATTCATCCTGGTCAACCGCGCAGCCTGTCCATATCAGGCCACGAGGCACAACTTTTGAAGTCTCGCGAATTGGTGGATACTGACTGCCTTTTACTCAGTCAAGTATGCATTAGAATGTGACCTGGCCCTCTCTGCTACAAATACGACGTGTCCGCGCTGCTTTACAACCAAATCTGCGCAGAAGTGACTGTTCAGTTTTCCTGCCGAAAGTCCCTGCCCTTAGGGCCAGCTCAATATTGGAAATCTTGATAAAGTGCCCAAGATACACCCGAAATGGAGAGTCAAGATAGTGGAGATGAGCTCTATCCCATCGCCGTGCTGATTGACGAACTCAAGGTATGTCCTTAACCATGGCGCTCGCCATGCCCTGGGCTTTGACTGACATGTAAACAGCACGATGATGTCCTTCTCCGCCTCAACGCTATCCACCGGCTTTCTACCATTGCATTGGCCCTTGGCCCTGAACGAACAAGAGAGGAATTGATACCCTTTTTGGACGGTGCGGCCTGTTTCGTTGCCCAAACGTGGAACTACAACTGACATTTTGGCCCAGACTCCGTGGAAGATGAAGATGAAGTGCTTACCGCACTCGCTGAAGAGCTGGGAAACTTCATCGAGTACGTCGGCGGCCCTGAATATGGTCACGTGCTCCTCGCGCCTCTGGAGAACTTGGCCGCCATCGAGGAGCCATTGGTGCGGGACAAGGTACGTAAGATTCTCCATGGTTACGGGCATAAGTCATCTAAAGGGAGATAGGCGGTTGAATCTCTAAACAAAATCTGCAATGACTTGTCAGAACGACAAGTCGAAGAATACTTCATCCCCCTCACGATCCGCCTATCGAAGGCCGATTGGTTCACCTCGAAGATTTCCGCGACCGGCTTGTACACAACTCCCTACCGAAAAGCGTCCCAATCTTCTCAACAAGTTCTGAGGGCTCAATTTGGGCACCTTGTTCATGATGAGACACCCATGGTGCGACGACAAGCCGCAAACAACCTAGCCAAGTTCGTGAAAGAGGTTCCAGTCCCAATTGTGATCGAGGAGATGATCCCTCTGTTTCAACATCTAGCCAGCGATGACCAAGACAGTGTTCGACTTCTGACTGTCGAAGTCCTCATCTCCATTGCAGAAGTCATTCCCAAGGAGCAGCAACCGAGTCACGGTGTCTTGCTGACCGCATTAAGGAGTTTATTCGAGGACAAGAGCTGGAGAGTACGATACATGGTGGCAGAGAAATTCGAGAAGATTGCAAAGGCTGTCAATGAGGAGGTTGTCACCCGAGATCTCGTCCCTGCCTTTGTCAAGCTCCTCAAGGATAGCGAGGCCGAAGTCAGGACCGCCATCGCCAGCCAAATCCCTGGCTTCTGCGGGCTGCTTGACCGAGAGACCCTCTTGAACGAAATCATGACATCGATCGAAGACCTGGTGTCTGATCCTAACCAGCATGTTCGAGCCGCCCTCGGAACCCAACTCAGTGGACTAGCTCCAATTCTCGGCAAGGAAGAAACCATCTCTCATCTCCTCCCCATGTTTCTGCAAATGCTCAAGGACGAGTTCCCAGACGTGAGACTGCATATCATCTCCAAACTTGAACTTGTCAACAATGTGATCGGTATCGACTTGCTTTCTCAGTCTCTCCTGCCAGCCATCGTCCAGCTTGCAGAAGACAAGCAATGGCGTGTGCGCCTCGCAATTATTGAATACATTCCCTTGCTGGCGAAGCAATTGGGTATGAAATTCTTCGACGAGCAGCTAAGTTCGCTGTGCATGGGCTGGTTGGGCGACACTGTTTTCTCAATTCGCGACGCTGCAACACAGAACCTGAAGAAGCTCACGGAAGTCTTTGGCGTGGAATGGGCGAATCGAAGCATCATTCCCAAAGTCACGGCCATGAGCCAACAAGCAAATTATTTGTACAGGATGACAACTTGCTTTGCCATCACGGTCAGTCCCATTCGGTCCATTTTTAGACCAATTTGCTAACAGTTCAATGTCAGATCCTCGCACCAGTGATAACTCTCGACATTATAGCCGAAAGCGTCCTTCCCATGATGGACCGCCTCGTCACCGACCCAATCCCCAACATCCGGTTCAATGTTGCCAAATCCTACGCCGTCCTCATCGAGACGCTCCGCCGATTACCCACCGAAGGGACACTGCAGCAGGGGGACCAAGAATCCAATTCCACGGCACAACCGAGTCCCAAGGCACAGGAATTGATCGCGCAAATCATGTCAAATTTGGAGAAATTGCAACAGGACGAAGACGTGGATGTGCGGTATTTCGCTACTGTGGCGGCGGGTGGAACGAATAATGTGTATGCTCAGCAGTCCGGGGAGAGGATGGATACCGGACAGTAGTGCTTCCGCCGGCAGAAGGATGTGAGGGAGGTAGAGGTGAGGGAGCGGGAGATTGATGGTGATGAGAATGAGAACGAGGATGGGCCTGTCCAGCATGTCGAGCATATTGAGCGCGGTAAGGAGCGAGAGGACGACATGGGGCCTGAGCTGGGCAGGAGACCTTCGCAGTGGACATTTCCCATCTTTGGAGGAAGGCGGGAAATGTGACCGGTGTCATGGAAGGGCATGGGCCAGGGCCAAACCCAGGTCGGAGGCTTTCAGGGGGATTGATCCTGCCGGCCAGGACGGGCGGCGCAGCCTGGCATGGCTGTGACACGGGTGCATGTGTACGAAGATCAGCCAAGTGTCGCGTGGGAATAAAACATTGGCAGGGAAGGGGGAAGAATTCCAATGAAGGGATGATGGCCAGACGACACCAGCAAAAAGAGAGAGGGAGAGAGGAAGAGGAGAGAGCGTATTCCAGATATCGAGGGCCAGAAGATATTTTGGAGTCGCGAATCCGGACCTTTGTTTCGCCCTTCGTCCCTTTTTGTTTTGTACCACGCAGCACGAACGCAGAGGAAGAAATAGATAGATTTTCCCCAAAGACTGATTCGAAAGAGAGTGCCTGAGGTGTCGAGAAGTGTGTACGAGGTATAAACGGTCCTCCTTGTTCTGTAGTGCGCGTTGTATCCACATACTATTTTTCCGACTACCTACCTAGTAATGATATCGACGACGACGACGTCGAAGGGATCTATTGCGCCTTGCTTGCTTGCTAGTCACCCGGTCTGTCAGTATCTAGTAAGCATACCTAGTAAGTATCTTGTAACGGATACGTACATCGCCAGATCATTTACAGATATAGACCTAACATGTACGCACGCAGATAGCATATACGCATATACACAGGATCTCGTCGCATCTCGTCATCAAGGTATAGGATATTGGGTATAGGGTATGGATTCATATACATCTATATGTACTAATGGTATTTACTGTATGAATCAACAGTCTTGTGTCTCTCATCACACAGGGCTCACAGTTCACAGCGTCTTAACGTCACAGGCTCTCTCCTCTCTTCTCTGTATATGCTCGGTACTCGATAGATTCATACAAAAACCGCAAGGGGAACGGGGAAGTATATTTTTTTTTCCAACAACGCCGCTGTGTCAAAACCATTCTTTTTCGAATCAAAGCACAGCACACGCTTCGCTCTTGATTTCAGCACAGTTGAGTATCCCTCCGCGAAAAAGAAAGAAACGGTGCATTTTCTATACAGAATTTTTTGGGGTTGTTGCTTGCTTGCTTGCTTTGCACATCTGAGAAGAACAAGGCCAATTTTTTTTAGATGCTGAAGCCAATGTTATATCGGTCGTCGTCGATCAAACGGCCGTATCTGTGGATTTACTCGGTCAGCAAAGGCTCGATATCATCCATCACATGGTCAAAAATGGGACAAATAAACTCACTCTAACAACAGCCGGAAATACCACACCTCCAAATCCTCATTCCTCAGCACCTTTTGCGCCCAATTCCTGCCCTGCTCGGCGATCCTCTTGCCCTCCACCTTGCCGGCCTCCTCTTGATCAAAGTACCTCACGCTCTCGGCGTATTCATCACCGATCAGACCCAGTGGGATGTAATGCACCCACGGTCTCAGCCATTCGTCGTGCCACTCACGGAACACCGCGAGCTTGTAGACAAGAGATTTGCTCAACAGCCAGGCGTAATAGCGACCAGAGAACGCATTGCCATCTATGTCCAGCAGATACCGAGACGCCAGTGCGTCAAACATATTGACAGGCTCCACGGTCCCAAAGTACTCACGTTGGGCGTCGCAGTCCCCAGGGTCACATTGCCCAATGTATGTGAACTTGACGTCAAAATAATGCGCTACCTCGGCCGCGGAGATGGTCTTCTCGCGCCACAGAGAATCTTCTGCCGAAGTGTTGGTGTCCAATTCGAGAATCTTAGCCGTATTGAGTGGCTGGATCTTGGTGAGAAACCGTTGACGGTGTTGTCTTCTCCATCCACCATCGCGGGAGAAGCCACCGGTGGTGCTGCCTCGCCAATACATCGTAGGAGCCTTCTGTTCCCACGGCATATCCCGTTCCGGCTCATACTTGACACGGCCCATATAATACCACGGCGACGGGTACAGGATGTCTTGAAAGGAAGAGATCTTGGACTGCGAGAAGATGGGGAAGAGGTCGTGCGTGACATCGAACGCGTTGGGACGGTCGAAAAAGCCAAATGACCTCTCCATGCTGGGAGAGTTGCAGATGTCGGAGAAGGCGGTGGTGTTCCGGACGAAGCCCAGGGGCAGATTAGAATAGGCAGTAATGTTGTCTGGGCAGGAGTCGTTGAGACAGTAACGCGCAGCACTGTCTGGTGGGCAGGAGATTCTAGAATTGCTCCATGTCGGTTGGTGGGCAAAGCGGTTGAAGCGGGTAGTTTTGTATTCTTTGATCCGGATTCCTTCACCCAGATCTTCGGCGCGGCGCGACCATTCGTTCTTCAGTCTCTGAGCATTGTAGGCCTTGGGGATGTTCTCGTCCTTGGCTACCTTGACGTGGTGCAGGAGGTCATCGTGCTGCATCACCACGCGAGGCTCGTCATGAATGTTGAATGCTAGGTCCATATCGGGCAGGTACTTGATGAAATCTTTCAACATGATAGGCGTCGCCTCCCTATGCCACTCGTACATATCTCCACCTCCTTCGGCTTTGGTGACCTTGCCATCGCGGATCATGACTGAGATCAAAGCATTGTCGAATCCGATCGCTTCTCTTGTCCTCTCTCTTATGACACCGGGTTCCAATGCCCAAAAGGGCAGCAACTGGTGATATATCGTGTCATACTCGTCGATGAGCTCGACGCCCCGTTTTTTCGCAAAGTTGTACCATTTGTCGAAATGCGGAGGAGGAGGCAGCTTGTACCGCCTGCGGTACTCGGCTACCGCATCGCTGAGAGACCGCGACTGGCGCGCTCGGACAGTCTGAAAGTCACTCTCCCCCTGGGCGACTAGCTGGTGGATAGGATGCAACAGGGAACTCGCGGGGAGGAGTGGCTGATTCTCCTCGTGGGCATGGTGGCCTTGGAAGAGCGAGGCCGTCGATTCCTCAAGTGTCTGGATCTGCTGGGGACTCTGGAGCAGGTATAGGGTGAGAACAGCGGTGCCGACAAGAAGGACCAGAGCCAGTAGCTTGCGCGACCTTAGCATGCCTTGGACATGGCTCGGGTGCCGGTGCAGGATTTCCAGATTCATGCACAGACCGACGGCGACGCCCAGGTCTGGCACATTGACGTACGATTTGCTGCGTTGGGGCACTCAGCGTTGGGTCGCACACCTCGTGGGGGGGAAAACCTCGCAGTCGGGTCTGGACAAGAGGTACTGGGCCGTTTGGGAGATATCGGTGACACGACGGTAGGGGATGGGCGTACGGCACGACGAAGGACCCGTTTTTGCGATGTCGAACAGGAATGGGATTGTCGCCATCTCCAAATCCATTTGCCTCTTTGGGGTGAAAAGGAGACAAAGATACTCGAACGAAGCGCAGCTTACATAATCAAATTCCGGTGAGCCAGATGCGTCTTGAAGCGCAATATCAAACACTTGTCTATGGATATGCGGCCAATGTCCCGAGACATATAGACATGTCCACTCATCCTGCTCAATACCCCAGAGCCTTCCACAGTTTCCTGGACAAATTACTCCCAATATCTGACCACATACCCGCCCAGCCTCTTGTCCGTGTCACCAGATTCGTAATCCCAATGATCCGTCTCGTAAACAGGTCCGTCTGCTCAAAGTCGTCGGCGTAACAATCCCAGACTGCCTGGTCTTCTATGGCCCGCTCGAGGCCCACTGCCCTTGCGTCCTCCTCGGAGGTCTTGCTGGCTATCATGAGTGCGCGGCCGATGATGCCTTGATCGGCCACGAGGCGCGTCGTGGCTTCGACCACCGACTCAATTTTGGCCATTGCGCCGCCCGCGAGGACCAAGGCGCCCAGAGGTCCCAGGATAGGCGTGTCGACGAAATCTACACCCGTGCGTTAGTGAAGTATATACCACAATGATTGTGATAGCGCACATGGATTGATCATGTTCACCCTGATCCCTCTCTTCAGCGGCATTGTTAGCCTCAGTGTCCGAAACAACCCAACCACACCGTGCTTGGCCGCGGCGTAGATAGACTGGCCCGGCAGAGCCGCCAGTCCGGCAATCGAGGACACCAGGATGAGATGTCGATCCCGCGTCCCCGAATGCTTGTCCGCGTGACATTGCTCACTTCCCGGGTTCTGCGACAGATACGATATCGCCAGGTGTGTAGTGTACATGACGCCGTTTAGGTTGGTGTCCAGCGTGCGCAGGCCCGGGTTGGGGGGGACATGCTCGTCCACCATCTTCCCATAGTCGGGCGGGTCCTCGAATAGAAGCTGCTCTGCTGAATCGGCCACCCCGGCATTGGCCATGACGTGGTCGATCCCGCCGTGCGGACTCAGCCGGGTGGCCTGCTTGAAGAAGGCGACTTGACTCTGCCAGCTGGTCACGTTGAGCGGGATGAAATGGTGGTTCTGGTTTTCTGTGGCCTGGCGAACCTGGGCGACCAGCTCGGTGCCGGCCTTCTCATTGAGGTCGCCAATGATAACGTTGGCGCCGTGAGACGCCCATTCGCGGAAGCAAGCTGCCCCAAACCCTGAAGCGCCTCCCGTGATGAGGATCGTTTTGCCTCTAATGTTCTCGTGGTTGATGGGTCGAGCCATGTCGACAGGCGCGGAGTGAACGATGCTGGAGCCATAGGGGATCACCCCAGGTTGCGACTGTGACTGCGACATTGCGCTGGTTTGGTCTTCCAGACAGATAACAGGCAGCAGAACCCGGACCTCTTCTTTCTCCCCCCGTGTGACCTCTGTGACTCGATTCAAATCGTGTCCATATAGATGCAGCAATTGACTTGACCTTTTTAGGATAGAGACAGTCAGGACCAGTCGATGTGATGACCAGGACACAGTTTCGAGCTTCCAGATAGCTGATATAGAGTCGCAAGCGAGAAAGAAGCGAGAAACCTACCAAGCTTAAGCTATGCTCAGGGCGATTCAGGCGAGACACCAAGAAGGGTCAAAGGATAAACTTCGGCTGATGGCTTGTAGAGGCAGCCTGATTGACAACTCGGTATGTATTGTACTGTAGCTACCAGCATTGCTTTTCGCTCGGGTGTATATTACTTTCAATGAGAGTACATCCTTATATCTGGCGTGTCAGTCACAGAGTGCTCTCTTATGCTTCTCTAACGTCGCAGAAGAGACGAAAACGTGGCAGAGCGCAAGTCTTTCAGGACAGACACAGATCTTGATATCCTTTCGTCTATCCAATAACGCAGGCATCTGTACCGCTCGAAATACGTCTCAAACATTGAATCATATAACTTTTATCACACCGTTATAGCAGGAGGCAAATCCCCATTCACTTTGGGCTGCGCCTTGATATCCCTCGGAGACGTGTTTCCCAACTCTTTTAGTATATTCAACTCTGAAGCCGCGGATCCGCCAGCGTCGAGACCTCTGAATCCCTCCTCAACGGTCCATCTCTGATCTTCCTCGGCCTTGTGTAGCACTTCGCAGGAGTGGCCGACAACTAGCAAGCCCGGTGGCCTGGATCCTTCCTCTTCCACGGCCTGACAGACATGCTGGAGTGTCGTTCGGATCACCCTCTGATCTGGACAGCTGGCTCTTTCGATCACGGCGCACGGTGTACTGGAGGGCCACAGCGTCCGTCGTGTCCCTTCCTGGCTCTGAGATTCCGCGGTCTGCGTAAGACTTTGGACCAAGCTCTCTAATCTGTGCAGCGCCATGAGAAACACCACTGTCTTGCTCTTGCGGTAAGATGGCGGCTCAGGCGCAGCTCCCTTTCTGCCAGTCCCTGTACAGATGACGACTTGGTCGGCAACAGCACGGTGGGTTACAGGGATATCGGCGAACATGGGTGCCGAGAGAGCACTGGTGATGCCAGGTATTACTCTGACCTCGAAACCGCGCTCTCGGAAAAAGGTTACTTCTTCGGCCCCGCGACCATACAGATAAGGATCACCTTGCTTCAGCCGGAGCACATCTTTACCCTGTTCCATAGCCTCCAGTCCCATTTGAAGCATTTCCTCCTGTGCGGCGTCCGCATTGCCAGGAAACTTTCGGGCAATATGCACCGGCGTCCTGCGGGGGATAAGAGCTAGAATTTCGGCAGGAACAAGCTTGTCAGCCAAGATGACATGAGCTGTTTCAATAGCTGTCCGCGTGGCGATCGTCAGTAGAGAAGGATGGCCTGGGCCTGAACCAGCCAAGGTTATCGTGCCCTTGCGAGCAGGTAGTGACGGCAGGAGACTGGAGGTGTTGTCTGAACCAGGAGCAGGTGGCTGAGCAGTGGTCCTGTACGCCTCTAGGATTGTTGCCACATCAGCGTCCGTGATTGCCGCAAGTCGACTTAGAGGCCAGTACTCGCATATCTGCGAAAGCCACCTCATCCGGCGAGTGCGCAAAACAGCTGGGTCTCGATCGTCTTCTTTGACTAAGGAATTAAAGGTGTGTCTCTGAGCGGCGGCCTCTTCATCTTCACCTTCAGGGTCGGGTGGTTCTGTGGGGTTCGAGGCATTGGACTTGTAGTCCTCTGCCCAGATCTGCCTCCGCACGGATCCAAGTCTCTCGACGGCAGCACCAAACTTGGGAGGCAAGGTGGATGCAATCTCCCGCCGAATGCGTGATGATAGCTTGCAGCCATTGCCCGATGTGGTTATTCCTATTTGGAGGGGTCCGTCCGAATAGGTCGACAAGAGGGTGAAGGTGCAAAGGTGCGGCGCATCCACGACGTTGACTGGAATCCGCATGCGCTTGCAGAGGCTGGACACGTGGGAGCTTCTCGGGTCTTTGGCAGGGAGAGTGACAAACACGGCATCCACATATCCATCTATTTCTTCTCTCCCCAATGTCTTCAGGTCCTGCTCTTCAAACTCGCGCTGTATCCATGACACTCGGCCCTGCTCAATGGCCGCCGCAAGCGTGAAGTGGGGTTGCTCGGTCTCGGGAAACACAGCAATCGGTCGGGCGCCAACCTCGAGCGACTTTGTGCACCGTGCGGCAGCCAGAGGTCCGGAACCGAGAATCAGGTGGACGTGTCCAACGCAGCTGTGCGCCGTCAACAGAGCGGGTGTAAACATGGTGGGATGCGCGCAGAGAGGTAACTGTGTGGGAGAGAACGAAGTGTTTTAAGAAGTGCAAGCAATATGATACCGAGACGCCATGGCCATGCAAAAAGAAAGATTGGTTAGGAAAACAGAAAATAGGAAATAGAACAAACCCCTCAGTTCACCATGTCTACTCGGTACCAATATGGCAATTTAGAATTCCTCGACATGGAAAAAATACCAAGAAGAGAAAAAAATGCGAATGACGTGATTTGTCGAGCGGGAGTCGGTGCTTATCGCTCGCTTATCGGACGCCACTTTGATTCCTTCACAGACACAGACACAGAAAGACTCGTGGGGCCGCGGAGCCTCGTCTAATCCTACACGCATCTCCTCGTTCTTCTCCTTGCTGTTTCCGCGGGGATGTGTACCCTATCACTTGGGTCAGAGATCATTCCTTCTAGCCCAATAGTCTCAGGAGAACCACAAGGGAAAGGCAGCGGAGATGCACACGTTCTTCCCTATCTCCAACGCCCTCGGCATGATTGGGATGGCCACGGTTGGCTGGAGCAGCGAGCCATAATGTCTCCAACGTCCTGCATAATCGTCGTGCCAAGCTTGGCTCTTGATCTTCAGAACAGGGCTACCCGTCTAGCAGGGCGAACCGGATACGGAGGTAGCGCGGAATGGCTACGACGGGAAGCAGCAGATTGCCTTACCGTGCTCTGAAACCGGGCAACTTTAGCCTCTGTCGGACGTCTCTGGGCAGGCAATTTGCTGGGGATTCCTGTGAATTGAATTGTCATAGTCGAGTACCCGAGTTGTGGGCCTCGTAACCTGCGAACAGATGTTGCTGGCTGGCTGTTCAATCCTCGGGCTCATCGTCATCGAAACTAAGCATCTTGCTCATGTATGGGCCATCCAGCGTATATCCCAGACGTTCGTAGTAGCTCCTCACACCAACGCCGCTGATGACGCTGAGTTTCTCGCTTCCGTGTTCGTCCCGGGCAATTTTCTCGGCTTCTTTCATCAGCAGAGTTCCATAACCTTGGTGCTGGAATCGGCTCTTTTCGCGGCCGTGAATCGGGACAGCCAAACCGTAAACATGAAGCTCACGGACAATGCTGGTTGGCTGGCCTGTCAGCTCGGGTCGAAAGGTGTGTGTATCTGAGCATTTTCGCAACCTCAGTAGACCGATAAGGATATCCTGCTTGGGATCCTCATATGCAAGAAACGTCTCCCAGCCGCCATTTGCCATGTAATCCCTCCGCACAAGCTCCACCTGCGAAGGGCGAATTTTGTTCTTCACCTCATTGATGCCGACCTCCCGCGTCCGAACATCTCGACAGGTGGTGCCGAAATCCTTCATCCGAGATAGCGCGAGCTCACGTAGATTGCCATTCTCGACTCCAGATGTTACCAAGGGCATGGGAATGTCCCGCTGTACACGATATATTCTCGTCCAGGGAGGCACCAGCGCCAGGATCCTAGCCACCAGATCCACAAGGGCATTTGGAGTATAGTTCTTGAACCGCCCGGTCCGCCACAGCTCGTAAAGTCCCGTGCCGCGAATGACGAGCGTCGGATAGATCTTCAGACCATCTGTGCGGAAGTCTGGGTTCTCAAAGTATTCCTGGAATTGGAAGATGTCGCGTTCCATGCCAACATTGGGTAAGTCTGGCATCATATGCGACACTACCTTGAAGCCAGCATCTTTGCAGAATTTGAACGCCTCCACTACCGCAGCAACTGTATGACCTCGGTTTGTGTCTCGGGCCACGTCCTCATATAAAGACTGGACACCAAGCTCCAGCCGGGTACACCCATACCTCAGCATATCAGAAAGATGGTCGATCTGTCCAAAGTCGGGTCTTGTTTCGATAGTGATGCCAACGCACTTGATACTTGACATCTCTCCCGCGGTGACGGCCTCGTCCACATTTTCTGTCTGGTAACCCGACAACGCATTGTGCAACTGCGCGACAAAGTTATCCCGGTAGTCCTGGGGTAAGGACATGAATGTTCCGCCCATGATGATGAACTCGACTTTATCCACGCTATGACCAAGAGATTTGATCTGATCGACTCTGCCGCGTGCCTGTTCAAACGGATCATAACGAGCACGGATAGCTCGCATTGAGGTGGGCTCGTATCCTGTGTACGACTGGGTCGAGTATTCAAAGTCGGAGTCAGGTCCACCTGGACAATAGACACAGGCATGGCCCGTCCAGGCGATGTGTGGACATCGATGCGGCTTGGACATGACAGCAACAACGGCAATTCCTGAGGCTGTCCTTACCGGTTTCGCGATCAGCTTCGGCATCAGGTGTTTTTTGAACTCGGGTGGAACAGCAGCCAGGATCGCGGTCAGAGGAGGCAGATTGCTCAGTCTGTGCTTTTTGGCGACGTCCCCTCTCAGTTTATTGAGGTTGACATCTTTCTTGGGTTTCGTCTCGTCAAGGCTAGCCTCGTATTCTTGGACAAGTGCGCGCGCAATGTCATTACATGCCTGCATGAACCGGACGTTTTCTGGAGGGAGTTTTTCATTTTTGCCGATTTTGACTTTGGTCCTGAGCACCGTCTCTGTCGCCATGTCGGGCTGGCAGAATACAGAACCTTCCAACCAGAATATAAAAGTCAAGTAAGTGTAGGGGAAACCTAGAG